GGCCCTTGTTTGACGCACCTTGGTTTTATCCTGAACCCTAGGATCTCAGTCTGGGAAACCGCAGCTTCTCCTACTTAGAGCCAAGCTTTGGAAATCTGGAAATCGAGGACCCTTTTCTCCCTCAAGCCCTGGTCCTTGCACTCTTAAGCCAAGGCTTTTAAGGTTATTGCTTCTCTACTGGGATTTAAGAATGCCTCCTTAAAAATCAGAGGATAAGAATCTGACGCCGTGATCTTTTAAGTGTCTACCCTGTCTCCTCTGAAATCTGAGTGGTGGCAGGAGGGTCCCTGCCAGAAATGCCAGAAAATAACAATTCCTGGTCTCTCAGATCTTAGCCCACTACAGCCGTGGTTCTCAAAGTGTGGACCCCGGACCAGCAGCAGCATCCCCTGGGGGCTTGGGAGAAATGCCAATTATTTCACCCCAAACACACACCTACCGGTCAGAAACCGTGTGGGGCTGCTGACCCATGTTTTGTCACTCCCTCCAGGTAATCCCGAGGCAGCCTAAGGTTTAGAACCCTGCACCACAGCTCTGCGTCCCGCACTGTGTTTTTTTCTTGCCTTTATAAATTCGTTCATGCTATTTCCTCCTCTCAGATGCTCCTTATGGGTCTCTGCCACCGTCCTTGAAACCATTCTACCTCTACACCTCATCTAAATATTGTGTAGTGCCTGTGACCTGTCCCAAAGTGTCTTCCTTGTTATTTACTTCTTTCCCCATTAACTTTTTGTGTGTTAATGCTTTGCCTCTGCAATGGACCCAGAAGCATCTCACAAATAAGAATCATATCGTAAACATCTTTGCAGCTCCCACGACACCTAGCAAACTTTCTGTCTCTGGTCAGTTTCCTAGAAGGTATTTTGAAGAAGGACCTCAGAGTCCGTGATTTTTTTGAGGCGGTGCCCGAAGGGAAGGAAGGACCCAGAAGGAAAAAAGGCTAAGCAAGGATATGGCTCAGGTCAATGCTAGCCATGACTAAGAGGGGCTTAAAGCACACCCCATTTGAGTCAAGGGGTTGGCATCTTGTACTCCCGACCATCAGCCATGGATGGGCCAGCCTGAGGGGTGCCCCTTCCTGGGTGAGGAGGTGCCTGTTGGCCAGGGACGCTACTCCAGAGAGGGTGACAACTGAGAGCCACCCGCAACCACCAAGCATACAGCAGCTGTGGGATGAGCACCCTGACCCAGGCAGGGGACCGGGGCAGGACTGTAACACTAGCTCCATTTTAGGCGAAACAAATGTTCAATAAAGGTTTGTGACGGACTGACTCCTTCTACTGTTCCCATCTATAAAAGAGAGAATACTGTAAAAGATAACCACCGTGCGAATTCTCTCTCGGGTCCTCATAAAGCATTTTACAGACATGCATTGTTAAACCAGATTCACTTTGTAAACTGAAACAGGAGTGGCCCAGAGAGTCCGGGCCTCCTACATATGGCAGCGAGCGTGGCCACGGGGGTGCAGAAGAGAAAACGGACCATCTGGAATCACTGAGAAACAGGAGGAAAAGTTACAGCCCAAGTACCACAACCCTTCTTGAATAAGTACCATTTTTGTGTTTCGTCTGGAGGATGAGTCATTTCCCACTTTCTTCCCCTCAGCCTCCCCAAAGTCCAAGCTAACCAAAAAGGATCTCCAGATGGCTCACCCACGATCAGGTCTCCTTTGATTGTTCCGGGAGGTTTAATTTGTCACCACCAGGAGTACGAAGACCAAATCAAGAGGCAATATGGCGGGAGAAGAGAGAGGGAGGGAGATCGCGGCCTGCCCGTGAGAGGACTGCGAAAGGGCGTGTGGATTATACAGATGGCGCGCCATTCAGGAGCCCTTCTGAGAAACGCCAACGTAGGTTGGCCCAGGTGTATTACAAGTTCAGCTCGATGACTCACAGTCCTGGCCGCACGCTAGAACCACCTGCGGAGCCTTAAAACCCACGGATGCCCAGGCCCTGCCTGAGATACTGATGCAAGCGGTGCATTGGAGCCTGATTTCCACATTCCTTTTTTTTTTTTTTTTTTTTTAAGCTCCCTGGAGGGGTTCAATGCGCACTTAGTGGTGAAGAGCACTGTTGTAGCATCTGCTCTTCATCTGAGCTGCAGTCAAGATTTATTGCTTTTCCCCCAAGTATTTCTTATCTATCTGCCCAGTCCCGCATTTCGCGCTACAGAGAAACCAAAGAAATGTGCAACTGGAAGGAACGACGGGTCTGGGGAGTCAGATGGTACGGGTCCAATTCTGCCACTCCCAGCCGCGTGACTTTGGGGAAGTCACTGGAGTCCTTTGGCTCTCGGTTTCCTCACCTCTTAGGGGTTGGGGCAAAGGCCCAGAGATACAAAAATGAGAAAGCCTGGGGTTTACTCCTTCCTCAGCTCTTAACCATCTCAGAGGGCACATCAAGAACAATGGACTGTTTCTAGAATTTACCATCTTACACTGCACAGGATCTTCCTCCCCGTTGGAGCAATGACGTGGGTTTCTTCGGCTTCTCCCGACACTCCGGTGATTTACCAGAGTCTGCTCCCCATAACTCCATGGCTCTAATTCTTCCCCCTCTGCCTCTTTGCTCATGTTATTATCCCCTCCTCATGTAACCTCCACCTCCCCAACCACCATCCATCCCCTAAAATTTCAAGGCAAGTCCCTCCTCCCCTAAACCACTGATCACATTTGTTTCTCCCTCATCTTAGCAGCTCATTGTCTCCTCACCGCCACATACATTGTGTCCCCCTCTACACTGCCTCCTTAAGGGTCATAAGGACAAGCATTCCCACCCTTCTATTACACTCTACCAATTAGGGAGCACCTACGATGTGCTGGGCACTGGCTAGGTGCTTCACTTCTATCATTTCGAATCCTCAAAGCAACCTGTAACATAGGCTCTCCGTATCACACACATGCAGAAACTGAGGCTCCAAAAGATCACATGAACTTATCTGAGAAGGCCCTGGTGTGGGAGTCAGCGCTCCACCCCAGATCTGTCTGGCTCCCGAGTCCGTGCTCTTCCCACCACTCGACGCTGCCTGGGCAGTGGAACGTTTGTCCGATGACGGATTGAAGTATCTGCGAGTCAGGAGAAGTAACATATGCCTAAGTGACAACTTGAGGAAAAAGCAGGGAGATCGCTTTGGTTTTTTTCTCTAAACAGCAAACTGACACATCTACCCAACCCCAGCCCGACCATCTGCTCGATGTATTGGCCAATAAGTTTGACAGATTATGTCCAAGCTGACATAGCCACTAAGCTGACACAGAAATTACAGATTCCTTGCGGGGGTGGCATTATGAAGCAGAAAGAGAACAGCGCTAAAGTGAAGGGCCCTGGGTTCTAATCCCATCCACCTTTGCTGTTAGCCTGCTGTGTGACCTTGGATCAGTCACGCAACTTCTCTGGGCGTCCATTTTTCTGAGGGGACACTACATTAGCAGTTTCAGACTCGGTTTTGAGAGGCAGAACCTTTGCAGTTGGAGCCGTTTGGGTTGAAGGATGGGAAGACAAGGGAACCCATATCCGCAAGGGACCCCCACTCATCCTGCCAGGAAATCCCAGAGGTAACTCCAGGGGCCTGTTTGAAATCCACTGGGCTAAAAGTTCCCCAAGACCCCTACCAGAACGTCCTGTTAATCCCCTCTCTCACTTGCTCTGGACAACCCCTTCAAGCAGTATTTTCTGCACTGAGGTGCTTACTGAATACTTGCAGTTGACAAGTGGGAACTGTCCCTGGATAATGTCCACCAGGCACTGCTGCTTCCTCCTCCTAGCCTTCTGCCTGCACCCTGTCATCGATTAGTTCTACTTGGCAACTTTGCCTTTATTTCCAATCCTCTCTGCCAAGTTCTGCTTCCATCCTAGGATGAGCTGGCCTTGAGGGCAGTGATGCATATGTCCACCGGGGATTCTAAAAGAGGGGACTTCCCAAAGCATGCATTTCCGTGATTTGCATGACCCTTCTCTACCAGCAGCCCTTGGGCCACCTCCCTTGGCCCTGAACGGGAAGAGTAGTATTTACTCCCACCAGTGAAGCTGCAGACCCCATTAAAGGAGGAAGAGACGGGGCGGGGTGGGGGGGGGGTTCCTAATCGATGATTCCTTTATTAAACTTTTATACCTTGCAAGCTGTTACAGGGCCTAAATCAAAACCAGGAGGGAACGGCCACAGGGAGAAATAAAGGGTTGTCTCCAACTCTTCTGTGTCAGGGTGAGTCTCCTCAGAAGCAGACACCAAAATGGGGTCAGATGCACCAGCAGTATGTTACGGGAACCGCTTCTAAAGGATAAAGGGGAGAAATCAGGAGTAAGCAGGGGGAGGTTTCAGACCACAGTGCAGGTCTGACATCTGAGACAGGAGAGCGAGAGGGAGGGATACGAGACACAATGACCTCAGACTGCAGTGCAGCTCTGAGAAAGTCTTGGCCAGGCAGTGAGGAGCTCCCGAGCAAAGATGGCCCACGGGGCAGGCACTGCCCAACTCCAGAATCTCTGTCATGCTGAGTCACTGGCTGGGAGCAGCCCCGTCCAAGTGTGGTCTCGGCACGAATGCCATGCGGGAGACACAGGTCGACAGCTGGAGGCTGTCCCACCTAAGCACCCCCACGGGTTCTCCCAGCAGGACAGAGGGGAACACAGTCGGCTGCCACACCCTCACTCTTGGTTCAACTGATTTCACCCAAGTGACTCCCCCCCCCCCCCAAATTACAGCACCCTTGTCACGGGTGATACAGATTCTGTTGGAAGGTAGCCCATTCACTGGCTCTGGGCACAGAGATGATTAGGGTGGCAACATTTGAGGACCCGGAAGTGCCTGATTCTCTCAAAACATCCCTAAATTCACCAGACTTGCTCTCGGACACGTAAGCCATCATGCTGGGTGAAGGTCCTTTTGAAACGCAGATGTAATGATAGCATCTCCCGCACTGAAGAGCACGTTTCTGCTTAAATCCACTGAAATTTGATTGCACCAGGACAGCAGCTCTGCAAGAAAGCCTAGGAAGGTATCACTTCTCCCTCTCATAGATGGGAAAATTGGCCCAAAGTCACAGAGTTAGTAAACGACAGAAGGCTGGCCAGCAAAGTCCTGGCCCCCTTAATTCACTCAACAAACGTTTACTGAGCACCTATTATGTTTCAAGCACTAAGAATACAGCTGTGTCTTGTTGACAGACACTATCTCTGCCCTAGGGGAGAGATCTTTTGGGAGAGAGAGGCAATAAACATACACACTGATTAATTTCTGATTAATTTCAGATAGGTAAGTGCTACAAAGCAAATAGAGAAACAGGACTAAAAGGGACTGAGAGAGGTGAGAAGTACCCCAGCAAGAGGCCTTGGGGGAGGCTTCTCTGAGAGGAGAGAACGGTCATGGAGAGGACCACACCCTGTGGCAGGAACAGGCTGACCTGGGGGTGGTAAAGGGGGAGTGTGGAGACCGAGGGAACAGGGGCAGGAGATGGGCCCAGAGAACTGGCAGGGGCAATGTAGGTCCCGGTGAGTTTGATTTTTATTCTAATTTCAGTGGAAGCCAATCTATGAGAGATGGTAAAACAAAGGGCAAATACTGTTAGCTGTCATATTTTCAGTAAGTTCCTGCCCTGGGGGTGGCGATCCATCATCTAGAGTGCCTCCAGGTTCAAAGACAATCACTAACCTGTTGTTAGCACACAAATCACTTCACCCAGGGGATTTGTTCCTGGGGAGAAGGGAGGAAAGGAAAAGCAATACCACCGTCCTTCCTCACTCTCCACCCCTACCCTGCAGAGCACTTAGGCTCTCTCTTGAAATCATGCTTCTTAACCTTGACTCTCATGGGAATCATTTGGAGAGTTTAAAAAGTGTGTGTGTGTGTGTGTGTGTGTGTGTGTGTGTGTGTGTGTGTGTTTAATTAAGCCTGCTCTCAGCAATTCTGATTCAACTGGTTTAGGTTGAGAGACTGAATATACAAATGGACAACAGCCAGACTTTATATGACAATAGAATTCTGACCCGCTATCTGCAGCAACCAGCCCAGGAAACCAACACGGCCTTTGTAGCAACTGGCCCCAAACACTCAGTACTTAATATCTGCCAGCTTTCCTAATTTTGGCCCCTGCTTCCAACTGAAAATCAACCAGGGAAAGTCAAATATGGACCCCTAACCAATCGCATTGCATGCCCCACTTCTGGTCAGCCCCCTTCCAGCTTTCCCATTTCAACAACCCCGAATACGGCATACCTAAAAGCCTTCTTTTTTTTCTCCACTCTTCTGCCTGACTTTGTGTCTCTCTCTCTCTCTCTCTTAAATTTTGTTATTTAAATTAACCGGTTTATTATAGGCTAGCAATGTTTCAAATGGTGAAGCTTCTACTGGTCTTTCAACGCCTTCAGTCTTCTGATGGCCGACCTGACTGTGACAGCAGAAATGGCGATATAGGTCCACGCACCACCTGTTACGGTTTTCATGCAGAAACCACAATGCCAGATCCCCACAGCTTGTCTTTTCATTTTGCTTTTGCCACAGAAGGAGCAAGTGTACTTGGCATGCTGACTTATTTAATTTTCCGGAGGGAGGCACCATAATGGGTCCCGCATTTACCCACAATCTGAACCTTCTTGGTGCGTTTAACCATGTCGCTGCAAACTAGGTCTGAGCCCAGACAGCCTGCCTTTGAGTCTCTACCAAATGCAGAGGATGGTAATGTTTGATTCTCCTGCTAGGGCAAGCTCCAAAGAAATAGCCTTTGGCCTCACTTGATTGCTCTTCACTTATTTCCAGAGGATACAGCTCAGAAATCGGTTGTTTTTAAAAGTCCTCTGAGTGGTTCTCGAGGCATCTGGGTGGCTCAGGCAGTTAAGCATCTGCCTTTGGCTCAGGTCATGATCTCACAGCTCAGCTCGTGGGTTCGAGCCCCACGTTGGGCTCTGTGCTGTCAGCGCAGAGACCGCTTGGGATCTCCCCTCTCTCTGCCTGCCCCTGCTTGTGCTCTCACTCTCAAAATAAATAAATAAACTTCAAACAAAAAAAAAAGTTCTCTGAGTGCTTCTGATGTACAACCAAGGTTGTGAACCCTGGCTGTAAATAAGTGGTTCTTTTTTTCTTCTTCCACGATTTTATTTAAATTCAAGTTAGTTAACATATTATGTAGTATTGGTTTCAGGACTAGAATTTTGTAATTCATCACTTACATGTAACACTCAGCGCTCATCACAAGTTCCCTTCTTAATGCCTGTCACCAATTGAGCCCATCCCCCCACCTCCCCTCCAGCAGTTTAGTTTGTTCTCTCCAATTAAGAGTCTTTTATGTTTGCCTCCCTCTCTGTTTGTATCTTATTTTAGTTTTCCTCCCCTTCCCCTATGTCCGTCTGTTTTGTTTCTTTTTTTTTTTTTTTTAATTTTTTTTTTCAACGTTTATTTATTTTTGGGACAGAGAGAGACAGAGCATGAACAGGGGAGGGGCAGAGAGAGAGGGAGACACAGAATCGGAAGCAGGCTCCAGGCTCTGAGCCATCAGCCCAGAGCCCGACGCGGGGCTCGAACTCACGGAGCGCGAGATCGTGACCTGGCTGAAGTCGGACGCTTAACCAACTGCGCCACCCAGGCACCCCTGTTTTGTTTCTTAAATTCTACATATGAGTGAAATCATATGGTATTTGTCCTTCTCTGAATGACTTATTTCACTGAGCATAATATACTCTAGTTTCATCCATATCATTGCAAATGGCAAGATTTCATTCTCTTTGATGGCTGAGTAATATTCCATTGTGTGTGTGTGTGTGTGTGTGTGCACATGTACACCACATCTTCTTTATCCATTCACCAGTTGATGGACATTCGGGCTCTTTCCATAATTTGACTATTGTTGATAGTGCTGCTAGAAACATCCGGGTGCACGTGACCCTTGAATCAGTATTTTTGTACCCTTTGGATAAATACCTAGCAGTGCAATTGCTAGGTCATAGGTAGTTCTATTTTTAACTTTTTGAAGAACCTCCATATTGTTTTCCAGAGTGGCTACACCAGTTTGCATTCCCACCAACAGGGTAAGAGGGATCCTCTTTTCGTATCCTCACCAACTGTTGTTACCTGTGTTGTTAGTTTTAGCCCTAAAAAAGTGGTTCTTAAAGTTTAGTCCCCAGACCAGCAAATCAGCATCATCTGGTAACTTGTTACAAACGCAAATCCTATATAACTTGTGTTATTTTCAGGCAATTTCCTTCTATGCTCAGTTTCTTGGGAGTTTTTATCATAAAAGGACATAATTCAAATACTGTTTCTGCATCTGTTGAGATCATGATGTGATTTTTAGCCTTCATTCGTTAATGTGAAGTATCATATTAATTGATTTTCATATATTGAACCATTGTCGCAGCCCAGAAATAAATCCAACTTAAGTATGGTGCATGATCTTTTTAACGTGCTGTTAAATTCACTTTGCTGGTATTTTACTGAGGATTTTTGCATCTGTATTCATCAGAGCTAATATCATACTCAATGGTGAAAAACTGAAAGCTTTTTCTCTAAGACCAGGAAACAAAGCAATGAGGCTGGCTCTTTGCTACTTCTATTCAGTATGGTACTAGAAGTTTTAGCCAGAGCAATTAGGCAAGAAAAAGAAATAAAAGATATCCAAATAGGAAATAGGAAATGAAAATGTCTGTTAGCAGATGACATGGTATTACATATAGAAAACCCTAAAGACCACACACACACACACACACACACACACACACACACGTTAGAATAAATGAATTCAGTAAAGCTGCAGGACACAAAATCAAGATACAAAAATCAGTTGCATTTCTATACACTAAAAATGAACTACCTGAAAAAGGAAATTAATAAAATAATTCCATTTATAATAGCAGTAAAAAGGAAAAAAATACTTAGGAATAAACTTAACAAAGGAGGTAAAAGACTTCTATTTTGAAAACTATAAAACACTGACGAAAGACATTAAAGAAGATACAAGAAAGACATCCTCTATTCATGGACTAGAAGACTTAATATTGTTAAAACGTCCATACTATCCTAAGCAATCTACAGATTCAATGCAATCCCTATCAAAATCCCAATGGCATTTTTTACAAAAATAAACAAATACTAAAATTCATATGGAACCACAAAAGACCAAGAATTGCCCAAACAATCTTACAAACAAAGAACAAAGCTGAAAGTATCACACTCCCTGACTTGAAAATATGTTACAATGTTACAATAACCAAAAAGTATGGACTGGCATAAAAACAGACATATAGACCAATGGAACAGAATAGAGAAGCCAGAAATCACACATA